AAAAGATTGAGGCACCCTTGTTAGTCTCTCGTATGTTGATTCTATCTCAGAATAACCTTAGACTTTCAATTTCATAGAAATGAAATTGTATTTCACATGTGAATCTGACATGAGGTTAATCTGTACATCTTAATTTCTAGAAGTTTATAAGTCCTGATTACATAATTCCACAGATACAGGATTTATTTCAGAAAAAAGGTTTGTCTAACTCTTAACCACATTTTGCATATATTTACATTAAAGATGAATTAAGCAAGAGAAAATGGGGGTGGGGGTTGTTTATCTGTTGGAAATCAGAAAATATAATAATTTTTAATTTTGTATTTATCATTCTCCTGGACAATACAAAATTGTGACCGATTGTGGATCATATAATTCTTTGTACATAAAAAAGTCAATGAATTTTGTTGAAAGAATTAACTAATGAATATAATCCTGAATTATATTGAGATTTCTTCCCTTTAAAAAAAAACCTAGTTACATAATCATTGATTGGCCTCCATATTTTTCCTATTTGCCTCTAAATTTTTAATCAGAACTTAAGCAAATCATAAACAAGAAATAGTAATATCATGTCATTTTTCCCAAAGTAGTTTTAAGTAGTATTTGCCCTATTGTAATGTGCTAGAGCATTTTCCCATTTGGTAGAAGTARTTCACATTTTTTCTGTAACTTGTAATTTCATATTTCTTGCCTATTTTTTATGAATTTGTTATACTTTCCATTTCTATTTTATCCCTTTGCACATGACATATTTTTCAATTTTATGTAATTAATAATTAGTCAATTGATTGTGCTTACTTTTTTGTCATATGGAAGATTTCTGTTTATGTATCACCATAATTGATTGAAATCAATATTTTCCCTCTTCACTGTTTAATTTTGAATCATAAATTAAAAAGTCTTCCTCTATTCCAAGTTACTGAAAATTTCACCTTTGCTTTCTTTTTCTTATTTTTGTTTTTTGTTTGTTTATTTTGGTACTGGGGATTGAACCCAGGACACTCTACCACTGAGCCACATACCCAGTCCTATTTTGTATCTTTTTTTTAGAGACAGGGTCTCACTGAGTTGCTTAGAACCTTGCTTTTGCTGAGGCCGGCTTTGAACTTGTGATTCTCCTGCCTCAGCCTCCCAAGCTGCTGGAATTAGAGGCATGCACCACTGTGCCTAGCACCTATGCTTTCTTCTATTATTTTATGGTTTACCATAGTTTTGAAACCTCTAACCCATAATGAAATTTATTCTAGAATATAGTGCAAGAAATGAATGTAATTTTGTCTATTTCTATATGACAAATTTCTCCCCAACATCTATTCAAAACTGTCTTTCCCCCGCTGATTTGTAATACTACAATTACCTTGTACGGTATTTCCATATGGAATAGGTTTTATTTCTAGATTTCCAATACTCATTCCATGAGTTTTGACAAATGTTTAAACGTCTGCAACCTCTGCTACAGTCAAGATACAAAACTGCTCTTTGGACTCAAATTTCTGTTTCTTTGAAATCCAGTCCTCCCCAAACTCCCAGGCTCTGGAAATCATTGCTTTTGCCTTTTCCAGAAAGCTTATATACATAGAATTATGTATATAATATATATAAATAGGTCACATATTTATTTCTTTTTCGTATAAATAGGTCACATGTTTAATCTGGCTTCCTTAATGTAGCATGTTAATATTGACATTGATAAGTGAATGGTAGGAACAATACTAAAATATCATTGGTAATAACTACAGAATTTTAGTTACTTTATTATTTCTTTTTCKCATTTTAAATTTTTTTCAAATATTTTATACTGAAGACCTTTTGTTCTTACAATAAATATTGACATAATAAAATCTTTTAAGGATCTAATCACACAAAAAAGCCTAGATTCAGCATAGTAGTCTGTTAGATGGCATATATTTAGTTCACAAGCACTTTATGTAAATTTTTTTCCAAGTTACTTAAAAGGACAGACACAGCTGGATGTGGTAGAAATAGAATGACTCAGGAGCTCAGAGCCTTTGACTCTAGGCCAGGCACCAACAATAAATAGTAAAAAGGCCTAGAGAAGGTGACAGCTCTTTGGAGTTTCAGTTTCCACATGAGTGAATTGATTGATCTGGAGCAGGCTACTTTTAGCATTCCATACAACTCCAAGATTTCACACCTAGTCTGCAATCTATATACAGGGGGAAAAATGGGAGTTCATAACCCACTTGAATCAAATGTATGAAATATGATATGTCAAGAGCTATGTAATGTTTTGAACAACTAATAAAAAAAATTCAAAGTAAGGAATTGGACCTAAATTTAGTAAATGCTGATATCATGCCTTCTCTGTACCTAGTAATATTATAAGTACTTTTTAAAGTACTTTTCAAAGTGATAATAATAACTATAATTAAAGCATAGACCATGTATGGGGTAGCACTGCCTATACTAGAGAGGATAAGCAAATAATCAAAATGACAGTAATTTTATCCAAATTCAGTATCATTCAAATCATTAAAAAGCAAAATAGAAATAAAATAACATTTAGAACTGAAAATAAGATAGGAATGAAAGTATAGTTATTCCATTTAAACCACTACCATTTATATAATCAAAATAAGCAATCTAATCTAATTGAGCAATGCACTAGAATACAGATGATTTCACATCAATCTCATCACAAATGACCTGGCCTTCATCAACTTGAATATTCTCACACACACTAAAGTATATAGAAGAAAACTTTTATAAAAAYAGGGCATTCTTTCAGTACTACATCTTAATATAATCATTATAAATATTTAAAGTGCACCATACATATTGGAAAAACAAGCTAGAAACCATCATGTTTCCAGTAAGCGCTGGAATATCTAAAGTCTAAGTATCAGAGAGACATATTCCAGTTATGCAGTGAGCACATTGGGTGCTGTAAGCTTAGCAAAAAAGTAATACAGTAAAAGAAACAAATTGGAAGGCTACTAACCGACTTCAGTTCCTAAGTCTAGTAGTGACAGTCCAGAGGGCTGGAAATGGATGGAAATGGGGCAAGCCAAGCAATTTCCATGTCTTACATGGTCCCTTGTTTGTTACTTTGACAACTACCAAAGCTCTCCAATTTTGTCCCCTCCTACCACCTCCTTTGCTCGTACTCATCCTTTAAAGCCAAACTTAGACACCACTTCTCCTAAGAAGGTTTTCCTGAGCCAACGCTTCTGACTCCGCTTTCAAACACCCCCACCTACGGGAAAAGTTAAATTAGGTTCCCACCATTATGTTTCTATAAAACCTGGCATAAATCTCTAACATATTACCATTATTCAGCCTCCTAGTTTGCATTACATTATAGGTCCATAGTCATTCTCATTCAGTGAACTGTGAAGTCCTTAAGATCAGGAACTACGTTTAATTCATTTGGGGGTCTCTAGTCTTACGCAGTGCATGACACAGAGGACATGCTTAATTAAGGATTGTTTGTTGAATGAGTGGGTAGATGATAGAAATACTATTAAAATGGCTTGAACCATGGGATTTCCCTCATGCCTTATTGTTTGGCTAGAAACAGTGATGAGAATTGACTATGTTTAGAGAAGGCAGTGAAGTGAGGAATGTATTTCTTCTGCATTTTTGGAATGTCTTTATAATTGATGGGCATGTGTAAGGCAGACCCACATTCTATCTTTGAGGAAGACCATAGTTTACATATTTAAGAGACTCATGTCAAAGAAGAAAGCAATATGTGACATCAAAAATACCAGTGTTTACTAAAATGAAAGAACATGTGAAAAAGGTCATGCACAGGTCAGAGATGTCAAAGATAAATTAACTGGATTCCAGAGCTAGGTTGGATCATTATGGCTCACAAAGGTCCTGGACCCAGAGAAGATCAGGTCTGAGGAGACTACTACACACACCAAGCTTGCTGGAGCTTGAAAAAATAAAAAGGCTAATGACTAAGTCAGCTGGAAAATTAGTCATGATTTAAACATGGACTCATAGTCAGGGGAATTGGATGGCCCTAGAGATGCTTTAGTCATGCAATGTACGTGTGCAAGTCAAACTTCCAATATAGCTTTTCCCTCTAGTATTTCCCTCTCTTAGACAGTACTGAATAAATAGAGATTCTGTTGGACACAGGTGTCTGCCACAAATTGTAACTATCATAGGACTTTAGAAGGTTAAAAGTTAGTATTCAGTCATAGAGGTCAAGGAAAGCTTTATGGAACAAGTGGTATTCCAACAATGTCTTGAAGGTTGCTTAGACTTGAGGGAGAACGTTGTAGACAAAGGGGAAAGCAGAAGCAAAGAAAGTAAGTGGTTTGGTTTTGCTGGAATACAAGGATTACGATGGAGAATACTAGACTATTATGAAGAAAAGTTAGAGCCAGATCATGGATACTCTTGAAAGCCAGTTATGAAGCCTAAATGTTATTCTTTATACAAGGGGGATTCAAAATAGAAAAACATCTCGATTAGAATTATACTCATAGCAAATTGATTTGTCTGTGGCATGAGTCCTTGGAGGAGGGAATCCCAGAAGCATAAACTCGGAGAAGCTAGAGAATCTATGTGGAAGGTCTGAAACTAGGACAATAGTGTTATAGATAGAGCAGAAAGAAACTGAAGGGAACAAACCAGGAAATAGCATCTTTTTCTTCTTATATACACACACCAAAGAAAAATATAAGCTGTAGCTCAGGTAACCCAAATAGAATATTTAAAAAAAAAAACCCTGTCCTAATTTCTATGAAATTCTCCATTTATGAAGAACAGAAGATTGTAAAATGATCAATCCACTTAGCCAATGTGATTGACTTTTAGATTGTCTAAATATTGAATTTGTGAAAACTGGAATTTTCAAAGCACAGTGGATATCTGTACCTCAAGGGACAGCTCAAAGGGGAAAAGAAATAAAATATCCTATGTAACTAAATGTTTTTGTCTCCCAAAATGTCCAGGTGCTTTTTTCCAAATAGCCTTTCTCACAAACACTTCCTAACATTAGCTAACCCAACTAACAGGAATGCTGCAGAAAACAGAAGCAGGACCTTTGTGAGAAATTTGATTACCTGTATGGCATCCTGGAGGAGAGGAAGAATGAAATGACCCAGGCCATCACCCGAACYCAAGAGGAGAAACTGGAACATGTCCGAGCTCTGATCAAAAAATATTCCGATCATTTGGAGAACGTATCAAAGTTGGTCGAGTCAGGAATCCAGTTCATGGATGAGCCAGAAATGGCAGTGTTTCTGCAGGTAAGTCTTCTTCTTGGCACCAAGGAAATAAATCCAAAAGGTAAATGCTGGAAATTAGTTATCACGTTTTTTATTATTTTGTGTACATTTCATGTTTTAACCTATTTTAACAACTAAAATCATCATCTATTTGGCCCTGCTTACATAGAAAAGGACCCTGACAATACAGCAGTTATTTATAGCTTTTAGAAACTAAGCTATAAGATTCTCAGGGTCAGCAAAGAAAAGGATTAAGTCTCGCCATCATCTTGGATGAAAARAATCTAAGTAAGCCTGTCTCTTGTTTGCTTTCACAGAATGCCAAAACCCTGTTACAAAAGTAAGTCATTTTTATTTTATGGAAAAATACATATTTTCTTTTTTACCCAAAGCTATCAAACTTTAAACAGTGACAGAAATGAAAACCCTGTCTTTGTTGCAGAATCTCAGAAGCATCAAAGGCATTTCAGATGGAGAAAATAGAACATGGTTATGAGAACATGAGCCACTTCACAGTCAACCTCCATAGAGAAGAAAAAATAATACGTGAGATTGATTTCTACAGAGGTTTGTTATTCTTTTGACCATTTGGCCAAAATTTCAGGTGTGGGAAAGCTACAGAAGAGTTGGGTGGGAGGAAGGGAGGATTCAGAATCACCTCCAGAATGGATGTTGACAACTTCAGAAAGACCATAATCCAACGTGACAAAGCTCTGTTTTGTAATAGGATCACATAGTGTGTTGACAGTGTTTATTCAGCTTTGCACATCATAATGCCCGTTTAATCCCATTATCAGGCATTTGACTTTGGGTAGTCAAATACTTAACAGCTGATGATTATGATGATATCTCGACCACACAAAAAGTGTTAGTCACGGAGATGTAAAGTGTCATCAGCAGTAAGATTAAGGAGGCTTTGCTGCTGGGCTCAGGAAGCATGTAAGTGAGAATTCCTAGGACAGTAGGAGGAAGGATGGGTAAACTGAGGGGATTTGCCCCACTTACTGGGGTTGATTGATGCACTCTGCCTTCTTCTAGGTGGGAACCCCCACAGTGTACAGGTTATTACTCCCSAGGATGCCCCTAGTGTGTGAGGGTATTCTGGTAATGATCCCTGGCCCTGGCCCCAGGATGGGAGACAGTAGAGACAGCAGTAACAGAATTGAGGGTTGTTTGGGGGTCCAAGGCATCTGCCCAAGGAAGAGAAGAAGGAATGCAGAACCACCTACTTCCTGACTGTTCTCCCCCCACCCCCTTCCTCATTGTCTGGGAGTGAAGACAAGAAGCCCCTCCCTGCACCTCCAGGCAGGTGGGCCAGAGAGCTGGGCTTACTGAGGGTTTCTCGGGTTTTCCAGTTCAGGGCCCAGCCGGCTGGCAGCAGGAGTGCAGAGGTCACTTGAACTCAGACCACACATCCTGTTAAACACATCAGCTTTTAAATTGATCTTTGTGCAAAGTCCAGTGGGTTCCAAGACTAGTGCTCACAGAAGAGAGAATCCCTGAGGAACAGAGCAGCTCCTCTTCCTTCCGGGTAAAGAATTGGCCTCCACCTTCAACCCCTTGGGAATGTCAACTGTCCAAAAAAGAAGGGCAAAGCCATGGCTTCTTCCTGAGACTTGAGAAGGAAACTGACGACCACCTGGTCAGGGTGATTTGAGAAGGTAGCTCAGCAGAGCAGTCTGTTCTTCTGGATGGAGACAGAGTTCTTAGGATCAACAGTATTTTTGTCAACAAGGTAGAGCAGATGCAGGTGGTGGATCTGGTCAGGAAGAGTGGGAATTCATTGACTTGAATAGTTCTGGGTGGAGATTCCTATAAGAAAGTCATAAAAAAACAGGTAGACTTGAAAGAGTTGGGTCAGAGCCAGAAGGATCTGGGTTTCAATGATAAGAAACTGGCCCCTGTGATGAATGGAGCAGTGGAGACTTGGATCCAGCCCCGGCTCTGCTACCTGGTGAAGGAGGAGAACCGCTATGGCATCTCTCATTCAAGATAAAAAGGGAATGTACATGACTGATATCACTCCTCGGGGTGTGGGTATGAAAGCTGGTGTCCTGGCTGCTGATCACCTGATTGAAGTAAATGGAGGGAATGTGGAGAACGCCAGCCATGAGGAAGTCGTGGGGAAAGTGAAGTCGTCAGGAAGCCCTGTCATGTTCCTGCTTATGAACAAAGAAACTGACAAGCATCATAGAGAACAGAAGATACAATTCAAGGGGGAAACAACCAGTTTGAAACTCCTGCCTCATCAGCCCTGAGTAGTGGAGATAATGAAGGGAAGCCATGGCTATGGGTTCTGTCTGAAGGCCTGCTCAGAACAGAAAGGTCAGATCATCAAGGACGTCGATTCTGGAAGCCCAGCAGAGGCAGCTGGCTTGAAGAACAATGACCTGGTCGTTGCTGTCAGTGGTGAGACTGTGGAAACCCTTGATCATGACAGTGTGGTTAAAACGGATTAAAAAGGGTGGAGATCAGACTTCACTGTGGGTGGTAGACAAAGGATGGATAATATATATATAGTCTGGCTCGGATTTCTCCATTTTTCTACTATCAAAGTCAAGAAATGCCTAATGGTTCTATCAAAGAGGCTCCAGCTTCTATCCCTGTTCCTCTGGAGGTCTCAAGTCCAGATACTACCGAGGAAGTAGCAGATTGTAGGCCTAAACTTTGCAGGCTGATTAAAGATAAAAATGGCTATGGTTTTCATTTAAATGCAATTCAGGGTCTGCCAGTCTCATTCATCAAAGAGGTACAGTAGGGCATCCCCGCTGATGTGGCTGGGCTGGAGGCCATCATGTGGATGAGGCCATCATCATCCAAGTGAAGGGGGTGAATGTGTTGGATGAACCCTATGAGAAGGTGGTGGAGAGAATCCACAACAGACACTCTTGTTCTGTGGAGAGAGGCCTCTGATTACTTCCAAGCTAAGAAAATTCCCATTGTTTCCTCCGTGGCTGATCCACTGGCTGCCTGCCCTGATTCCAAAGAAGAAATACTGGCAGAGTCAGAACATGATTCACACATGGTAGAAGAATGAGCCCACATTACAGCCTCATGTTCTTCTTCCAATTCTTAAGATATAGAGATGTGATCCAAGAAATAATCCTTTTGACCGGACATGGTGGCACATGCCTATAATCCCAATGGCCCTGGAGGATCAGACAGGAAGATCTTGAGTTCAAAGCCAGCCTCCGAAAAAGCAAGGTGCCAAGCAACTCAGTGAGACTCTGTCTCTAAACAAAATACAAAATAGGGCTGGGGATGTGGCTCAGTGGTCGAGTGCCCCTTGAGTTCAATCCCTGGTATCCACCCCACCCTGCTCCAAAAGAAAAAGAAATAATCACTTTGGCTGATAGGATTACTACTAAGTATTCAGATACTGCTTTCTCAAAGAATGAGCTGCCATCCATTTAGTATCTATGTTGGAGAAGAACTCCTCTGAAAACCATTCACCATGTGTGATTGTCTTCTTTTGTCATTTGTCTTAGGGGCTGCTATTGCAGATGGCTTATATTTATGGTCAGCTTAGGAAGAACTAAGCAGGAGTCCGATCATTTTTATGTGATCTCCTCCAAGCTTCAACTTAACTCCATTTCTCTAATGATGATTCTCTTACTTCTGTGGGCTCCTTGAACACCAAAATCAACTCATAAATCTATATATGTGAAAGTTGCTAATTAAAATATCTGAGCATATCTGTTTAAAATTATGCCTTTATAGCAATGTTGTGGTTGCTGGAATAAATACCACTAAAACGGGGGGAAAAAGAGCAAGATTAAGAATGAGATAAAAATAAAAAACATAGAAGACACTGGGCTAGATATGTTAGTGCATCAGATTGACCATTCATTAGAGGACAAGAATAGGAACACGTCATAGACTAAGTCACAACTTGGAAACAAGGTCAGGTCTCTGTGACCAAACAGATTTCAGAAGCTATGAACATCTCCTCACCTTTGGCTCAGAAATCCAACTCTTAGAAATTTATCCTGATGAAATAATTAAAAAGAGGAAAATAACTGTGAAGTTGACCCCAAATGTGATCACTTTGACTCATCCTAGCCCAACTAGATGATAACACTACCATGACCAACATGGCCAAACTCACAGTACCATCGAGGGGTGATGGGGGATTGAGAAATACACACACACACACACACACACACACACACACACGTAGATGGCTGGGATCGGGTGGAGCACTGCTCTCTGATGGAGAAGCGGTGTCTAAAGAGCTGTTCCAGCAAGTTTTATGTATATATGTCTCATAATCAAGTGAAAGACTATAAAAGCATTACTCTTTGTGCCCAAGAAAGTGACAGGACTGGAAACATCTATGTAGCTTTTCCACAGTTGCAATGTGCAATGTTAGGAGCTTTGTGCAGCACTCAAGAAGCCCAATGTCTAAAGTTACTGTGAAGTGGGCAGGCTCAGGAGTAGCAGCTGGTAGAAATATTATGGTTGTCTTACATGCTCAGAATTCCTCTATCCCTGGGAGCTATGTGCCTAAGATCAAGGTCGAAGCCGATAAGACTCTTGCACAGAGCCTTTTTGGAYGGGACGTCACCATAGCAATTGGGAATCCTGTACCCTTTACGGAATCATTCCCAGGCAACAGGTATACCACAGCCATGAAGCCATCAGAGACCCCCAACCTCAGTCACTGTTCTCCCTTTCTCTATCACCACTCTCCACAAACACTCCATGGCTAGACCTCTAATAATGCACCAGCATTATGGATGCAATAGTAGAGGCAAATCTTCATAACAGGTCTTTTCTAAAAATGTACTTAATATAGTCTGTCTTTATTGTTGCCCGAGGGAATATGAAGTGGGTTAGGAAAAGAGTCATGGTGTTAATTGTTGCAAAAACTGAACAAAGGAGGTAAGAAATGAAAACAAGTGTGTTTTCAGAGATAGGGAAGAGGGTTGCACTTAGTTTGACAGAGATAAATAAGCGACAATCCCAGCCCTCCAGGAGCTTACAGAGGTGGCACAATATGATAAAAACATAAGCAGGCTGCTGGGGTGGGGGTGAAGTGGGGGGTGCATTGGGTATGGGATTTTGCTTTGGGGAGGACAGCAAGGAGGAAGGCGATGGTTTCTTTATATTTATCTTGTCCAAATTTAAATAGAAGCACAGGCCCCAGCATGGCACACTAGGGCCACTGTCAAGTGTCAATTGGAGAGGAATCCCTAGCTCTGACCTTAACTTGAGCCATAAGTACTGACCATTAGCTATTTCCATGGCTGCAGTGGTAGTCATAACAAGCTTAAAAATACCTTACCAGAAGATGAAGACGAGGAAGAAGGAGGGGGAGAAGGAGAAGAAGAAGAAGGAGAGGAAGCAGTAGAAGTGGAAGAGGTGGAAAATATTCAAATAGAGTCATCAGGAGAAGATGAAAGTCCTGCAAAAGCCTCGGAGACCTCTCAGCTGGTCTCAGAGCTCCAGGCTGGCCCCGGAGCACTTCCAGTTTCCTCTTCAGAGCCACCTCCAACCCTGCCACCTGCTGTGGATGCCCCAGTGACACAGGTAACCATTCATGAGTTCCTTTCTACAAGTGTTCCTCCTTTCTGAACACCCCAAACAATTTATTCCTTCTTAAGAAAAAGATAACTATATTTGTATACAGCAGACAAATTTTTTCAGGGCAGTCACAGTGTTAGGGAGAGAATTCTCTTAAGTGATTCAACAGGTTCCCTGTTGTTATAGCTGGGTGGCAAGACCTAATACCACTTTCCACCAGTGTTACTACACTTCCAGATGTGAGGTGGTCTTTGAAAATGTGTGTGTGTGTGTGTGTGTGTGTGTGTGTGTGTGTGTGKGWGWGWGWGAGAGAGAGAGAGAGAGAGAGAGAGAGAGAGAGAGAGAGAGAAATGTAAACTCACAGAGAATTGCTTGATGTGGATGTGGTCACTTTTTGTTGCTTAACAAATAGGGTATAGTGTGACAAATAATGAGGTGAGATGTGAAAGCGATCATACTTGCAGAAATTTGAATTTTCTATACATAACAGAGAAACTACACTACTATATGTTCATGTTGCTCACCTCAATGTGCAACTGTATCTTTCCTTCAGTGGGCAACCAAATGAAGCCTGGTTTTCTATAGGTTTGTCATTTGATGAGACTCTGTTGACAGGACTGTTTAAGACATTTTAGGATGTGAGCTCATCCCAGAGGCTGCACCTGATCAGCTAACCTTATGTTTCTAGGAGGTCACTGTCCAGTTTTCAAGCTTTTGTGCTGACTTCATGACACTTCAGCAGACAGGATCCAACCTGTTGAGTTTGTGGGCAATGCAGACTCATCAAAGGGGAGCCCTGCTTTTGCACCTGCTTTCAGAATGGATTGAAATCATCTGTAGAAATAAAACCCCAGAGGGGAAACTCAGCGATGGAATTATATTCTATGCTCTGTCTCCATAGCAAATGAGGCTTAAAATTTTTATAGTATTTATACTTCCTAGAATCTTGAAATTCTGGATATACCTGTTGCACCAAAATTGAAAGAAGGGTAGTAACTTAAATGAGGGTTAGATTTGATCAATGAGGTTGTTGGCTGTTGAAAAGCAGTTTGGGGGCCCACGTATATTGCCAAAAAGTTAATTCTGATCAATGCTTTGACCCTTCTCCCATATCTGATACTTTATAAGCAATTTTGACTTGAGGCTTCTGTTTCCTATTTGCCTGGGCTACCACCTAGTGAAATAAAAGCACAGAAAATATCCAGAGGCCTGTCAGAGGAGCCCTGAGGTCAGCATTCTGCCCCTAGTTCTTCCAGAAGGGGATGAAGTACAACAGACGCTAAACTAGGCATTGTGCACAGAGAACTCACAGTGCTCAAACCTGAAAGGAAGAGAACTAAAATCAACTGCGTTTTCTTTTTCTTTCTTTTTTTTTTTATTTTTGAATTTATCTATCCTTATGAAGGGGGAGGTTGTGCCCACTGGCTCTCAGCAGACCACAGAGTCTGAAACTCCAGTTCCTGCAGYAGCGGAAACTGCGGATCCCTTGTTTTACCCTAGTTGGTATAAAGGCCAAACCCGGAAAGCCACCACCAACCCACCTTGCACCCCAGGGAGCGAAAGTCGGGGGCACATAGGGCCTCCAAGTTCTGAGGAGTCAAATGTACAGAAGGCAGAAGTGACAGAAGCCGTAGCCAATGAGAGGGCAGCAGTGAGTGGTAAGGAAACTAGTTCACCTGCAGCTACTTCTCAGGTTAGTGTCCAAGCTCTTGTGCCTGAATGCTTTCCTGTGTCCCCTGCGTCCCTGCTGGAATAGGCCGCAGCAAGAAAGAAGGGCTTTCAAAGGGCAAAGAGAAAGCATGGCCCTCAGAAAAATATAGGAACACCTCACCCTCTGATGTTGGCTTGTTTTTTAAAGCGTTCTATCAAAGAACAAAATCAATTTGATTTCACTCTGCCTGTGCGTGGTGACCTCACACCTGTCCTCACAGGGGACAGGGCGCAAGCAAGCCTGGCCCTTTAGGCATGCTGTTGAGATCTGCTTTGTCTGCAGTGACTGGCTGGTGTCCCTGGTTCTTCTCTGCAGCATCCACTTGCTTTTGCTCAACATTTTCTGTGTCCCCTCTGGACTTCCAAAGACTAATCACCTGCCTCTGTATCATTCCCAGCAACCTCCAAGGAGCACGTTTATATCGGTTTTAAGTCTGCTCTGGAAGATAACCTCAGATTCTGAGGTTCTGGGGGTGTGCTAGCAATGGCTGAACAGAGATAGTCTTGGCTTGATTAAACCTGTGCTTCCTAAGTTTGTTCTCCTGGGGGCAGGACAACACAGGTTTACCTACTTTTTGAAAAGAGACTCTTGATTACTTTCTTCTTCTTCTTCTTTTTTTAATGAAAGCTTGAAATCCATGTCTTCTCCCTAACGCCTAGTTAGATGTTTGCATGTCCCGAAGAGTTCATAGAAGAAATGTTTTCCAGTTTCTTCATGAAGAAGAATGTTCATGGTAACTCATTCTCATGAGCATTCTTAAATGACTGTGGGGTGTGAGTGTTACCCCAACTAGAGGCTGTAGGGTAGCATTCTCTAGCTCTGTGCTCCTCCCTCATCAGGGAATTATGAACAACATGTCTTAAAACATCAGAAAATGACTTGTTTTCTTGATTGCATCTGCTCAAGGGACTTCAATTTCATGAGATAATAAAAAGAAATGATTATTGGAAAATTAAAAGCAACATGCTTTGGTGACATTTATTTTCACAGATGCAAAATGATAAAAAGTAAATGTTTGGTGTGAGGAGATCTTTTGAGGTAGTTTTAGGTAGAAATAAAATTGGAGTAGACTGATTATGTCTAGAAAGTTTGTGGGAATTATTATATTTTATGTAAGTTGAGGAGAAAGCTGTTTTCTGCAAATAGTAGTAAAAAATTACCCCATGAGGAGCATGTAGTTAGGTATATGTTCCAAAATGAAAAGCCCATCTAAACAATAATGGAAAAAAAACTGTGATAAAATCAGTGAAGCTTTCTTCTTGTTTTCTCACAGGAGTTAGCAATCTGCCTAGCACTTTTGGCTTTTCTTATCCTTCACTACATCTGGAGTCAGATTCAGTGCTTGATTTTTGCTTTAATGGGTAGGAAATATTTTCTTTTCCCTTCACTAACATCTCATGTAGATTCTTCCATAATATTCCTCTTCTGTAGGCCCAGAGATGAATTGATTCCCAAMCTTGAGGCTCAGTCTTCTAAAATGAACCCCGTTCACAGATAATACCCAAGGCCTCAAGTCCCTACAATGCAATCACCTCGAGGCACTTTCCTGGGGAGAATTGCTACGTGATCTATTCCTGGATGGTGGGAAACCTTAACTCAGAACAGTGACTCTGTGGGCAATTATTCAGTAATCCAGTAGGAGAGACCCCTTCAGGATGGCCATTAGGAAGGCCAGTTGCACAAGGTGTCCATGGTGCTATGAGGACTCACAGCTCTTCAGCTGAGGGGGGGAGCCACCAAGGTCCCATTCAGGAATGTGCAGGGTGCCACAGATTAAGGAGCAGTATTTCCTCTGCCCACTTAGAGATGCCAGGAGGGGGACAGGGATGCTGTCAGGGGAACTGTCCTAGGCAGTCCCCACATGGGAAGCAGATGGACTGGGTGACTATGGGTTCTCTTTGAACCCTCAGCCTGTGGGGGAAGAGAATCCTGAGAACAAGGTACCACGGGTGTAGCAACGATGGGGGGCAGCAGGGGAGTGCAGCCAGATGAGATCTGAAGGAATAAAGAGCTGGAGATCAATGTGCACTTCCCAGACCTGAGGAATCAGAACCAGAGAAAAGTCCTAACACCATTCAACAGTCCCTGCCTATCTCCTGGAAGCCCCCATCACAGGCTTCTTTTCTGCCTTATGAGCTCTCTGCTCAGCAGCAGCTATGGGACCTCCATGGGTCCCTGCTTGTCTGTAACTGAGTGTGAGCAGGATCCATTCCGCCATCTAATAGTTAGATTGAAAACTGCACCCTCAAATGTTCTGCTCAGCTGCCCAACTCCTCCCCACATTATTTGTGGTAAAGAACAGTAGAAGTATAGCACATGGACTTTGGGGGTGCAAATGAGCAGAAAGGAAACAACATGTTTGTTTTTAATAAGTTTGTTTTAAATTAGTTTCTAATAAAACTAATGTTTTATTAGAAGCACGACCTAATTGTGGATCTGAATAATTGTCTGAAGAGTTCTCTTAATATTCTGAGAATAGAGGTTTGGGGTTTTGTCACTATATATATATTCTTATAATATTCTCTGAGGCTGCAGGGGGAGTGTCATGCTTCATGGCTGCCATCCACTGAGCCCATGTCGTGTGCATTGATATTCATTCATATGCCTGTGTGGTCAGGAGAGGGTGAGACCAGTAGGGTGGGGCTGGGCACAGTGGATTGACCTTTAGTATTGCAAAGCACCTTACTTATGCAGTTCTCAGCATTTGAGAAAGGGGCTTGCACAAAGAGAAGCAAACCTATTCAGGATGGAATACCGCTCTTTGATCCCTGAAATGGCATATGGACAGGTCAATAGTAGCAAAATTGCAGGACTTTGAATTTTTTTGCAGGCCTAATTCACCTTCACCACTCCAGAATCCAATTTACCAGATGAATATTTATCCTAGTGCAAGGTTAGTTTGTTGGAATTTCACACTGCATCACTAGTCTTACCATGAAAATTTAGGTTGTTGTATAAGAGTTCTCCTTGACCACTGCTGGTCTTACTTGTCTTCACTAAATGGTCCCATGTCTGGGAGTGAGGCTCCTTTAGGCATGTCGGACTCCCTTGCTGAAATAWTTTCTATTTTCAGGTATTTTCTTTATATCTACTGACACAGTGACACCTATCCATCACCCAAGCACACCTGCAGATTATGTCTTAGAAACTGGTCATGCAAAAACCAGTTGTCCCTTCCTCCATCAACGGTGAACAGGGCTTCTCCTTTGTGTTAGATCAGATGAGCATTGTTGACTTCTCAATCCTCTTAAGGAAATAAAAAATATTAACAAGGTTTGGATTGAGCCTTGTGGTAAATCCGAATCTCAGGAAAGGTGCTGATTTTCATCCAGCCTTTTACAGGGTGAAATTTGAGCCCATTCCTGCCAGAAAACTATGCAAAGACCCCATATATAAACTGGCCTTTAGCTGCAAAATTGCTTTCCATGTTTTCATCCTGGACCACATGTGCTGTTCGCTCAATTGGTACAAAGGGAATTTTGTAGACATAACATTAGATTTTTTTTTCCAAGGGCCAATTTTTAAATTTGTTTTGAAAAAGTTACACCATGACCTAGTCAACCTTAGAAAAGAAGGGAATAACAAGGTGGGAGAAGGAAATTGTGACAGGTTGTGCTGTATTAGACTGTTTTTTGTTGCTATAACTCAGTGGCCGAGACTAGGTGATTTTAAAAGAACAGAAGTTTACTTAGCTTACAGTTTCAGAAGCCAAGGAGTCCAAGAGCATGTGGCACCAGGATCTAGTGAAGGCCTCATGCTGCATCATAACATGGTGTAGGGCATCACCTGGCCAAAGCAAGTATGCTAGCTTGGATTTCTCTTCCTTTTCTTACAAAGTCACTAATGCCATTGTGGAGGCTCCATCTTCACAACCTCATCTAATCCYAATTATCTCACAAAGTTTCCACCTCCAGATAGTAGTAATATATAAATTGGGGGATTAAATTTTTAACACACAAACTTTTGAGGGGCACAGTCAAATCATAACAACTGCCCTTGTTATGTGAGGCTGAATTTCTTGATGACGCTTTGTTGTGACGATTGCCTGAGCCAACCTGCTTCCATCTGTTGCCCTTCCTCTTTGCACAACACTTACCTGACCATTATACCTACATGTGAATACAGGAATTTCCCTCCATCCCCACCCTGTCCCTGTGGACAGTTGAGCATTTTATTGGTAATATGTGTAGCAATTACATTTTTACAGGGGTGGGCATAGCAGCAATGAGTGTCCCCCCTTCTCCCCTCCCCCTGCCCCCATTCTCTTTCCTCCCTTCCCAATGCAGCTTAGTGGCCTTGTGTGGAAGAAGCTGTCCAAATTTAATGGGAGCTGTGCAGACAATAGGGGTTTCCAAAGAAATGTCTCCATCTTTGATGGATAATTCAGCAGCTGCTGAGATTGATAATGAGCTGGATACAGTAGATGCCTCAAGGTCAGAGGAAGCCCCCACTTGGTGGAGCGCATACACACACACACACACTCACACACACACACACACACACACACACACACACACACACACACTCACCAGTGAGAACCAAGTAAGTGCATTGGAGATGGAGACTTTGGAATTGACATCTCTCCAATCTCTACTTCTTTAAAGAATCGTGTTTTGTGTATTTCATCTGAGCATGAAGTCATGGTGGTAAGAAACTGAAACCTACGTATCACAGCTATTTGCTGTTTCAAGAATGGAACGATCACTATTCATATTCTATTCTTCAAGCCTGAATATAGATACAGGAATCTGGTAGAAATTCTTCCAAGGTTTGGGGCAGTGGAAAGATGAATGAAATTAAGAGAAAGGACTCGCCTATCAGTTTCTTGCCTATATTTGACTCTGGGCATTTAATTTCTTTGAATCTCAATTTCCTCACCATAAAAATAAGGGACTACTCAGTGAGTAGATTTATCTATTGATACAACCTTGAACAATAAAGAATCTAGTCCTAACAACTTTATGCTATGCTTCAGGATGTTT